AATGTATCCCCTATGTACATACGTTTTTTCTTGCAAGTTTGCTGTGTGAAATTGTGTTGGGATGCGGCGGTGAGGAGAAAATGGGGGTGTTGAGTGGAGGTGAGTTGAGTGGAGTGGGAGTTGTGTTGTGTTGAGTTGAATGAGTGGAGTGGGTGGGTAATGGAGTGGGGTGATAGGTACATCCACGATGCTAGGGAAACTATTTAGCGGATTCCAAATGCTGTTTCAGCGCAGGTTTACACCGCGCAATAAGCTGGGTGTTTTTGAAGGTGTGTGTGTGTGTGCGTGATGGGTGGGTCGTTTGGCGGGCGGTGTTTTCGTGGGGGAAAAGGTGAGTTGAGAGTGTAGAGGGAGAGACAGAAAGGCTCGGTTAATATGCTAGGTTGGAGATATATGTAAGGGAAAGGAGGTCTTGGGATGTGTGGTGGTGCACTTATGAGTATGTTGAGATGTGGGTGTACTAAGTGTTTTTTTTACTTGTGGGATGGATTCGGAGGTGGATTTTTATTCTGATTTGGGTCTTGTGTAGCTATCTTTTATCTAACTTAGATACGATGTGAATGAGAGAGGAAGGGGGGCCTTGAAAGCATGTAGGCGTAATGGGTATGCTGACATTTAGGAGTAGGGGTATGGATTGAAGTTTATAAATGGGTTTGGCACTGAAATGGCGGGCTACACGATGAAGGAGGGTGGATTGGAGACATATGGAGCAAGGGAAGAAGAGCTGAGAGATTGGATGAAATTAGTGAGTTCCGAGTTGTACAGTTGGTGATTGTAATAGCGAGTCTGTAGTAAGAGCATGAGCTCCTTCATGGATAGACTGGTCTCGGTGCAGTGAGTGCTCAAGTTTCGACTTCACTGGATGATACTCTTCAGATGGCAACACACATGTGCAAAGGCACGTGCTATATTTCGCAGGCAAATTCTCATGCGCAGTACGCAAAGGGCATGGTCAGAGCTATTCCTATACTAACAGCGGCTCGTCCCGCCGTGAGCAATGCACAGAGTCCTGATCGCAGTCCAGCTCTGCATACTTATTGCGCGCGCAACCCTCAAGCATGATACAAAAAAGGGCTCTCTGTAACGTATTTGAGGCGGAGGTTGCGCGGTTAAAGAGTCTGGACCGCAGCATGTATCTTTGCTTCTGCTCTCGGACACCCTGCGTATACCGACCACGCCGATTACCCCTGTTCTCTGGCCACCACATGGCACGCGCAGATCATAGTTTCTTCTTTTTCTCTCTCGGTTCCACGCACGGTACTTACTCACCTATACCCTGCTTTTTCTAGTCTGACTTGCATATCCGTGCGCGCAAAATGCACCAAGCGTAGTGTGCAAACTAAGTAAGTAGGTCTGCACACCACTACACTGCGACCGAAAAAGCGTCGCTCATCACAAGCCTAGCAGAAACGAAAAAAAGAATAAGATATGGAGAAGAAAAAAGAACATTCAAGACACATCTTGCCGAAATGATTGGATTGGGTACCGTTTTTCGGATTCCGAGACAATTAGTCTGCACTTGGTACACCCTCTTTTTTCGTCCGTCTATCTATGCCTCGGGATCTGCATACCGTTTGGTGGGTGTCTACCACACACATACCCGCGCGTTTTCAAACGAAAAAAGAAACAAAAAAGGGGACTAGAAGTTTGTGATGGGAATGCAAGCGAGGCACACGGGACTAAGTAGGGGCTTGGCGCGTTTGATACCCAATGACCCTTGTGCTGCTGTTGCACACCCTTTGATCCCATCTTTGGCAGCCTCAATTATAACAAGAGAAAAAAGAAGGTTGGGAGATGGAGAAATTGGGAGTGGTGGCGTTTTGCCACGTCGGCTGCGGCTTTGCTCAGTTAGATGGGCCGGGACAAGGGTGTGCGTATTTTGGGTGGCTAATGGAAGAGCGAGTTTTTGATCGAGTGGCGTTGGGAGGGAGGCGATGTTGATGGTGATGAAAGTACATAAGTAAGGTCTGTCACGTGATTCATGTCAAGTTCAAGGCCGCCGATGTTGGGTACATACCATGTTAGGCACTTCTATTCTTGATGAAATCTAGATTATTCTAACCAATGACTTGGATGTGAAGAGAAATATTATTTCAGTTCTAGACTTGAGAGCGGGAGAATGCTACAGTGCCCGTGCACCAGATGAGCACCATCGCCAGTTGAGCACCCCCAACAACTCAATATAGTCAACAAGATGAGGCTGTAGAGCCACCACAAATCGTAATAAAATTGCGCATAGCTAGGATTATACTATATACAGGCCTACGAAAGTTTTGGCTTATTCTAGAAATTTTTTTGGAGGTCGTTATCGGTCGTTGCCGTCGACTACGCGGT